TTGGAAAAGTCCAGATATACTACGTCCACCGGCCTCCCCCCATCCAGATCTCTACTTACCTCTTCGTAAAAGGTTAGCAGGTTGGTCTTGCAAGAACGATCCTTCCTAAATCCGTGCTGCATATCAGTTATTATGCCATGATCCCGGACAAATTCCACTAAGTAATCTTTAATAATTCCCTCTGATAGTTTACATACTATGCATGTCAGACTAACTGGTCTATAGTCCCCCGGTTGGCATTTTGACCCTTTTTTGAATATAGGTACCACATTAGCCCTTCGCCAGTTGCTTGGCACTCTACCAGCCATTACGAATTCCTTAAAAATAGAACAATGGTCTCGTTATCTCCTTGTTCAGTTCCTTGAGTACCTTGTTATGCAGATTATCAGGTCCTAATGCTTTATTTGCATTTAGTAGTTTAAGCCTATGTTGTATCCCGGTTTCAGTCAACCACTCAGGTGTACTTCTTTGTAAATTTTGTGTTTTTTCATGTACATTAAACCTGTCTGTTTCCTTGGTGAATACCGACAAAAAGAAAGTATTTAGCGCCTCGGCCCTCTCCCTGTTGTTTGTGAGTAACAATGTCTTTTATTGGGCCTATCTGTTCCTTTCTCCCCTTTTTACTGTTTATGTACTGATAAAAAATGTTGGGGTTCTTTTTACTAACTTCGGCGATATATTTTTCACATTCAATTTTAGCAGCCCGGACTATTAGTTTACATCTTTTGTTACATTCTTTGTAGTTTTGGAATGCCAATACTGTCCCCTCCGTTTTATACTTAGTAAACACCACTTTCTTTTCCTTAATGTGTTGTTTTACCGTTTTATTTAGCTACATTGGCTTTGTTTTTGATCTTTTACTTTTATTACCCAGCGGTATACACCTTGTTATAGCATTTTTTTATTTGTTCTTGAAACAGTCCCACTTTTGGTCAAAGTTTAGTTTATCAAATACGTTTTCCTATTCTATTTCACCCACTATGTTGCGTAGTTTATCAAACTTGGCCTTCCTGAAGTTTAGGCTTCTCGTCCGACCATCTCCCTTCCCTTTCTTGCACCCAATATTAAAGGCAACCACCTTGTGATCACTATTACCCAGTGTCTCCCCGATTATAATATCCTCAATTAACTCCGTATTATTGCTGATGATCAGATCTAGGATTGCATTTTTCCTAGTCGGGACCTCTACCATTTGATCCATGAAATTGTCTCACAACATATTTAGAAAACGGGCAGCCTTTGCCAATTGGGAAGTTCCATCAGCCCAGTTGATGCTTGGGTAATTGAAGTCTCCCATTACCACAACATTACCCTGTTTCCCCGCTATTTCTATTTGGGATTGTAGGTGGCCTCCTCCTCTTCCCCTATATTTGGAAATTTATAACAGACACCCACAATAAGTTTACGGCTAAGGTCCGTTCTATCTGGTTCTAGCCATAAAGATTCCACATTGTCTCCTCCACTTGACGAGATGTTGTCACGGATGTGCATAATGCGGTTATTTTTAACATATATACATACCCCCCCTTCTTGCCAGCCTGTCCCTCCTGAACAGGTTGTACCCTTCTATGTTAGTAGCCCAATCGTGTGTGCTATCCAACCACGTTTCTGCTATTCCCACTATATCGTAGTCCTCCTCGAGTAACATCACTTCAAGGTCTTCTATTTTATTTGCTAAACTTCTAGCATTGGTGAACATACATTTAATTTTTGTACTTTTACTGGCTAAACGTTTCCCCTCTTGCTCCCTACCACTATTTTTAATTGTACCTGTTACGGTTGGTCCAAGCCTACTTGGATCCCCTAGTTTAAGCCTATGTTGTATCCCGGTTTCAGTCAACCACTCAGGTGTACTTCTTTGTAAATTTTGTGTTTTTTCATGTACATTAAACCTGTCTGTTTCCTTGGTGAATACCGACAAAAAGAAAGTATTTAGCGCCTCGGCCCTCTCCCTGTTGTTTGTGAGTAACAATGTCTTTTATTGGGCCTATCTGTTCCTTTCTCCCCTTTTTACTGTTTATGTACTGATAAAAAATGTTGGGGTTCTTTTTACTAACTTCGGCGATATATTTTTCACATTCAATTTTAGCAGCCCGGACTATTAGTTTACATCTTTTGTTACATTCTTTGTAGTTTTGGAATGCCAATACTGTCCCCTCCGTTTTATACTTAGTAAACACCACTTTCTTTTCCTTAATGTGTTGTTTTACCGTTTTATTTAGCTACATTGGCTTTGTTTTTGATCTTTTACTTTTATTACCCAGCGGTATACACCTTGTTATAGCATTTTTTTATTTGTTCTTGAAACAGTCCCACTTTTGGTCAAAGTTTAGTTTATCAAATACGTTTTCCTATTCTATTTCACCCACTATGTTGCGTAGTTTATCAAACTTGGCCTTCCTGAAGTTTAGGCTTCTCGTCCGACCATCTCCCTTCCCTTTCTTGCACCCAATATTAAAGGCAACCACCTTGTGATCACTATTACCCAGTGTCTCCCCGATTATAATATCCTCAATTAACTCCGTATTATTGCTGATGATCAGATCTAGGATTGCATTTTTCCTAGTCGGGACCTCTACCATTTGATCCATGAAATTGTCTCACAACATATTTAGAAAACGGGCAGCCTTTGCCAATTGGGAAGTTCCATCAGCCCAGTTGATGCTTGGGTAATTGAAGTCTCCCATTACCACAACATTACCCTGTTTCCCCGCTATTTCTATTTGGGATTGTAGGTGGCCTCCTCCTCTTCCCCTATATTTGGAAATTTATAACAGACACCCACAATAAGTTTACGGCTAAGGTCCGTTCTATCTGGTTCTAGCCATAAAGATTCCACATTGTCTCCTCCACTTGACGAGATGTTGTCACGGATGTGCATAATGCGGTTATTTTTAACATATATACATACCCCCCCTTCTTGCCAGCCTGTCCCTCCTGAACAGGTTGTACCCTTCTATGTTAGTAGCCCAATCGTGTGTGCTATCCAACCACGTTTCTGCTATTCCCACTATATCGTAGTCCTCCTCGAGTAACATCACTTCAAGGTCTTCTATTTTATTTGCTAAACTTCTAGCATTGAACAACATATTTAGAAAACGGGCAGCCTTTGCCAATTGGGAAGTTCCATCAGCCCAGTTGATGCTTGGGTAATTGAAGTCTCCCATTACCACAACATTACCCTGTTTCCCCGCTATTTCTATTTGGGATTGTAGGTGGCCTCCTCCTCTTCCCCTATATTTGGAAATTTATAACAGACACCCACAATAAGTTTACGGCTAAGGTCCGTTCTATCTGGTTCTAGCCATAAAGATTCCACATTGTCTCCTCCACTTGACGAGATGTTGTCACGGATGTGCATAATGCGGTTATTTTTAACATATATACATACCCCCCCTTCTTGCCAGCCTGTCCCTCCTGAACAGGTTGTACCCTTCTATGTTAGTAGCCCAATCGTGTGTGCTATCCAACCACGTTTCTGCTATTCCCACTATATCGTAGTCCTCCTCGAGTAACATCACTTCAAGGTCTTCTATTTTATTTGCTAAACTTCTAGCATTGGTGAACATACATTTAATTTTTGTACTTTTACTGGCTAAACGTTTCCCCTCTTGCTCCCTACCACTATTTTTAATTGTACCTGTTACGGTTGGTCCAAGCCTACTTGGATCCCCTTGGGCAATTAGATTTGCTTTATTGACTACATTGCATATTTTTGCTAAGTTTGCTTGATTTACAACTTTGACTATGTTGACTGGAGTGAGCCCACTATTGTGGTTGTGGTCAAACATCTTCCCCTCCTGCACGGAGAATCAAGAAAACAACCAGAGGAAATTCAGGAGCTTCTTTGCCCTGCAGGGAAGGGAGATGGTTTGACAGACTGCTGCTTAGGCTTTTTACTGCTCAACAAGTTATTAAGCCCATAAGATGAATTTTACAAAGTAGAGAGGATGATGGAGCATGAGGAGGGTGTAAGTAAGAGTTTTTTGGGCGATTACCAGATTACCAATCTGGTAACAAAGACTTTCTGATTATGGTACTGTTGCATCATTCTGGTAATAGCTGTAACGGTACAATAATCAATTGTAATGTCAGTAGAGCTGCATTTTTGCATTGCCATCATATGTGATGGCTTAGGGCAGAATGGCTGCCACACCATGTTACCGATTGTAACACTTATGGTGGGCCCTCCTTATTACTGCCTATGTGTAGTGCCTATGTGCATATGTGTAGTGTGTGCAAATATATTGGAAGTATAGTATACTGTCTACTTACAGCTCACCCACTTCAGGTCCAGATATCAAAAAACAATCAGCTAGCAGAGTACAGATTGCTCAAGTCCATTAGTCATCAGGTCTAGTTGTACTAACACAGAATGTATGAGCTGTCTCTTTCACTGTCTCTACCCCCCAGACTTGGTGTACTTTGAGTGACTATGACATCTGATGTTGTTAGTGTGACATTAAGGCTAGACTAGGTATACGGCACAAGACCTAGGAAGGCAGGAAACGTAAATGCAGCCCTCAAAAAGGAATATGTGCATAGTCACTTTTCTTGTTTTGTTTTTCAGTAGATACAGAGAGTGTGAACAAGGTTTGTTTTTCCCTACACAGGATACTATATATATATATATATAGGGTGCCATATAAGCTAAAGCTAGCCAAGACTGTAAGTAAAGTTTCTTAGTCATTTTTGGCTATGGAGTTAGCTTTTTTTTTTTCGATCTTAGCAGCATTGGTAATAAATGGAACTACATATAGAAATGTATATTTTCACAGCTCTATACAGTTACATTTTGAGAGGGATATTGGCGTGTATGTGGGAAAGTGGTGACAATGAACAGATAATGGTCCAGGACCCTAGTGAATAGAGGTGGTCTTTGGTATAATAAGTCACATTTACAGTACAGTCTACTACTTTTTTTCTAATTATATATAGACATGTTTTAAACAAGTTTGTGATTTTCATATTTAAAGTTTTTTCTGCATCTTGTTTTGCAGCATCTGACCTGGCAGCAGAGCAAGGGCAAATTCTGGTAATTGCCACAGCTGCAGTTGGAGGATTCACTCTGTTGGTTATTCTCACTCTGTTCTTCCTCATCACTGGCAGGTAAATCAATGTCCCTTAGAAGATCACTAAGCCTACAAAACAATATAGCAAAACATTCATATACCTGCGCAAAACTTGACATTGTGTTAATCTTTGGTTCATTCAGTAGATAGCTACAACTGTGCTGCTTATTTCTTTTTTTTTATAATTAATTTTGCCAAGCAGGTTGGTGCCATGAGGGATTGGGATTCAGCAGGTATCTGATAAAATTCCATGTTTGGCTAGCTTCACTAGTAGATCAACACGTTTATTCAGTGATGTTGTCCAAAATCCAGTACAAATATGACGAGTTCAGAAAGCTAACAGTCCTCAATCTCTTGACTTATCCAAAAACAGTAGTAGAGTAGGGTTAGGATTGCCAAAAAATGCCAATTCAAATTGATAATTTATTATATTCATATGTTCTCATTTTGCCCCCAAATAAAACCTTTTAAATCCTTTTTTTTCTCCCTGTATTTTGCCTTCACGTCTTCCGTATTTTTGTGGTTTCATTCTGCTTCTGTCAAAGGTGAAGTGTCTTTGTGATGATTTAATTAGGAGACTGTTATTTCTAGCTTAGCATACTAATTACCAAAATAAGTGCCTGAAATGATTAGCAAGGAACTAATTTACAAGAAGTAGTATTTCTCTTTTATGAAATGTCAGCCATTGATTGTAAGAGAAAAACATATTCTCCGTAAATGGACCATAGAAGAACTGCCGCCACGTCCCTTTCTCTCGCTAAAGGCCATTCAATAAGTTTTAAAGTTGAAAAGGATGACGTTTTGGTTTTAATCATGCTAATTAACCTGAATTTTGCGCTGTGACTTCTCATGATTCTTAATAATTAATATTTGTTTCACTTTGCAATGTATGCAGCATGCAGAAGCCTCATTAAAACTTGAAAAAAAGCCGCTTTAGTCTGGTGATACATTCTCTTCGGTCAGGGCAATTAAAAATGGAACCACTCTATGTATGGAATACTAAGCAAAATGACAGCTTTTGGCAAGAAAGAAGAATTAAACATAATAATGTGTTAAAACATTTATAAGATACATGCCACTTGTGATGTGTAAAGTCTCTAATGGCAAAGAAGGTTAGATCTTCAAATATTACCTGTTAGTCTTTTGTCCAAAGGTGGGCAGAAGGACAGGTAATATGTGAATTGCTTGATATTCTTAATCAGACACCTAGAATTATTTTGTGTGTGTGCTAGAGTTGACGACTTTTGATTTAGGGAAACTTAAACATGGTGGAGGAGCTTGAGTGGAGGTGGCTTATTAAATGTAAGGGTGGCTCAATGGGTGTGGCTAAATACATGTGTTCATAATGAACATGGTAAAACAGAGCCTGGATTTTATTAACATTAGGATAATTAAAATTTTATTCTTTAATCTTGAAGCCAAAGTAGCTTAAAATTCCTAAGTCTGCAGGGTGCTTATGTAAATTGAACCTGTGCTGTGGGACTGTTGGAAAGGTGAGTGTGTGCTGCTGTAAGGCAAGGGGGCTTAAAGCTAACCTGTTACTTTGCCCTGAATGGGCAATGTTTTCTTTAAGGAAAAGGGTATCAGAGTGCGATAGAAAATGGCATCAGCACAATGCAATGAAACTACCTACATGTATATGTAGGTGTGAACTGCATAATTAACATAGCATACTACCATGACCACAAATGACAATAGAAAATATGACAATTCAGAAAAACTGCTCAATGCTGCTGTTCTGTTGTGATAGAGGCTTAGTTGATGCCGCCCAAGCTGCTGGGCTGGCTGTTGTTGGTCGCTGTACTGATCAGTGATGACTGCTGCTGAGCTGCTCACCATCTTAGCTATGGTGGGCTACACTGGTCACTGAGTGCTGCTTACTGTCATTGTCACTCACAGCTGTATGTGTGATTGCTCAGCTCTAGAGCCGGCTTATGACAGCTTCAGTGTCACACGTCAGCTCTAATTATGGGGATGAGTGTATTTCACTCACCCCATAATTCTCCTTTAATGTGTCTGTTCCCTAATTACTAGTTTTATTCCAGCTTCTCCCATAATATAGCTAGATAGAAATCTGGCAAGATCGCTTGGTGCCTCAGCAATTTTATTATTATTTACAGAACCATAAGGCCAACAATTTACATCAGTAGGATGCTGCTGAAGTCTTGCCACCCCCGGCCATGGCCTGCCCACAAATTTGGGCTCATCTGGTTGCATTGTTATTCCAGTTCTCATTTTGCCTACAGATTTCCTTACTCTCATTGTGATGGTACATAGCCTGGAAGAGAATGCTGGGTTCACAACTTAAAATGCTGATTTTCAAGCACTCAATAAATAATCATGAAATAAAGAAACTTGCGAGTAAGTGGATTTTAGCAGATGTTTGCAGGAGTCAATGCACCTTTAATGGCGCAGATAACATCCAGTGTTTCATTTCCATTTCCTCAGAATCCAATTAGCTATAATTCCTTCAATATTTATAGTGAGACGGGAAGAATCTTATGTCTTCATTTTCCTGCACGCACTGATTGAAGGACCTGTAGCATGTCTTAGCTAATCACATGTGATGAGGGTACATTAAGCATCTTTACACTTGTGATTCCGCCATGCATTCCTCAGAGAGGGGAAAACATACATCATCAGCCCATTGCACAGCAGTGGAGGGAAGCCATGCTCAAACAACAATTAACCACGGAGGTACAAGAAGAATGTTTCCTTCCTTGCCAATTATCATTCGATTTCGTTTTTGTGGGAAGAACTTAACCCTGGACTTTAGAGCTGCAAGCCTTGAGCATTACCATAATCTTCATACTTTGCACAGCATCTTGTGCCTTGTTTTAAAGTTTTGAATAACAAACCTGATGCAACCTGTGTCTTGAGTTCCTGGCTGTGTAGTACTTGATGTAATAGCTTCCAATCCATTTCAGCAGAAATCTCCATCTTCAATAGAGGATCAACTTGCCAGGCTCCCCGTACCTGCTGAAGTTGCTCTCTGTCATCTCCATCCTTAAGCTTCACTCACTAGACCTTAGACCCAGGGCTCAGTCTGAGCACATGGCTTCACTATCTAGGCAGCAGGCCTAGAAGGGTCAGACAATCCACAGCATTCCTACTCCAGGCATGAGGCCCAGGGGGGAAGAGACACTAACAAGTTCAACCCCAAATATTTATGTCCTCTCCCAGCATGCACCACTGTCTACAAACCTTCTAGTGATTGGCAGGGGAGACACACATGTTCATAATGCACCATTATTGGCTGTTCTGCTCTATTGCATGGCCACACCCAGCAGCAGGCAGATAGAAAACAAAAACAGAGAGCTTAGGAGAAACCAATCGAGCACAGACTATCAAATCAGGATCAGAATTACTACAATCTGACAGCTCTAAATTTAAATAGTCACTCCTGCTTAAGGCAGGGTGGCTATATATGTATGCAGTAACACAAAGCAGTGTATCCCATCCAGCACTCTATAAAAGTCAGTAGTTCTACTGTTGAACTAAACCTGACATTTTAGGTTTGGTGTCACTCACAGAGCATCATTATATCTCAATGGCTGGGTTTCAACACCAGATTTCAGCTGTAGGTGACAGGCCAACATAAACAATCAGTTATTCCGTAAATCACTTCAAAGAGTAATGAGATTGTACAGTAAGACAGAAAACAATCAAAACTTTACACAGAACAGAATTCTTGGCAAACAGCTGAATACACAGCAGAGATATGTGATTTGAGTAAACCATTTTATCTAAAGGCTTTGTAATACTTTGACAGATAGTGCAGACAGGTAGGTGGCTTCCACATTTTCTGGCTCAGATCTGCTGCTTTCATTTTACCCCTCCACTTTCCAGCTTATTGGATAATGAATCGGTATCATAACACTGATATATTCTCTAATGAACAGACGGGTGACACAGAAAACTGAAAAGCATTAACATGGACGTGTTTGGATCATATGACCGGCTGGATAGAATTGCAGTCTGCCATCAGATGGGCTAGTCCCATTATCAATATTCAAGTGAGATAGGAAGGTCAAAGAGAGTGTCCAACTCATTGAGAAATCTGGATGCTTGTAGCCACAAAACATTTATGTGAGAAATAACAGCCTGAAATTTTAATTTATCCAAAATCTAAACTGATAAGATTCATTTTATTTCATACATAAAAGTGCTCCTTGGGGTATATGAACCAGGGGTTGAGAATCTGTGATCTAAAGTACATTTGAATATGAAATACATTTACAACAAAACATTAAAGCAAGCAAACACTTCAATCTTTCTTCTGCGCTCTGTTTTTTCAATACAAAATGGCCATGCTCAGAAATTACACTTTATATGTAAATGAAACATTAGCTCCCAAATTGTCATCAGATGAGCAAATAAGTAAAGTAAATTAAACTTTTGTTATTCGGATGTGCAAGTAGCTCAGCACTAATCAATACATTCTCTCTTGCTGTTTGTTCTTTGTAAATCAATACTTTTAATAGATGCAAACCTAATACATGTGATATATTTAAGTCCTGGTTATGCCCCTTATTTGCAGGGTGATTATAGGGACATTAGCAGTCCTGATGTATCTTAGAGACATGTTGAATATAAAAGACTCAGTCATGTGCCAGGCGAGATATAAATTCAATCTGAAGTATCATTTAAGAACAGTGATAAGGGGGCATTCATGGGAAATTATTCTATGAACACTAGGCAGGAAAATTGTGAATAAATACTCCATTTACTGGCAGGATTTAAAACAAATTTTACTTTGAAGGGCTTGGATTGGTCACTCACAGATGTGTTTTGCTGTACTCTTTGGAATTAGCAATTTGATGAACTGTCGCATCACAAGTTTTCTGATGAGTCTATTCGTACTGGAGAGGCAGGGCGAGATAAGCACCTGCTGCTTTATCCGCCAAGCGATTATCCGCCAGAAGCAAACAGAATTCATTTCACAACCGTTGCAAATAACACGTTGAAAGGTGTAATGCCAAAGATATGCCAAATAGGTTGTAGCTATTCTGAGGAAAGCGAGCCCCGTTGTGTGGT